TTATTATTATTATTATTATTGTTTCCCTTCCTTAAGATAAGCTACTATGTTCAAAGGGGGTGTTATTGATTTGTCATGTCAATAACATTCTTATGGAGAAATCAATGTCATACCGAGTCTTTGCAGTCGTTTGCGTTTTTAGCCTGTACATATATATTGCCGCGGATGATTATATTTGTTGGCGTTGGTCTTTCCCCCTTTTTTTTTGCCTGGAGGAATAAACGTTTTAAATAACTCAAATCGTATGAGTTGAATCCGTATGTGGTTTATCACAGCAACTATGATGCGGAGATTATATCGAAATTATTGCACAGGGGTTCAATTTCAACTCAAGTTATTGTAATGGTTTACGCCGACTCATTTCCAATAATTTAGGAGGCGGGCTTTTTTGTCACGTGAAGAGTCTATCCATTACGTTAGAGATGCTGGTAGTCGAGAGGTGGTCATGGTTTTTGATGTTGTTGTTGTAGTTGTAGTTGCTGTTGTTGTTGTTGTTGTTGTTGTTGTTGTTGTTGTTATTGTTGTTGCTGCTGTTGCTGTTGTTATTGCTGTTGTTGTACAGAGTTGATGTCCCTTTCAAAACTGGAATGTAAAGTAGGAGACGGGCCCTCCATGTTTCCCTATTTAACGTCCATCTCCGATAAGACCAAGCCAAGTCTCTCCCAACATTACCCAAGTTCAAGAACAGTCTCTTCTGTTTTCGTATCAATATCATGCATATCAGATTCTACACACAAGACAAAGCCTGCTGAATAAAATAAAATGTAGAAGAATACAACACTATGGCCACTTAAAACGACACAAGACCATTTTGAAAGAGGGGCTTGAAGGAAAGATGTAGGGCAGGAGAGCCAGAGGAAGGCAAAGAATAACGTGGTTGGACAACATAAGAGCATGGACCGGCCTGGATATGACATGAAGGACGAAGGGTCATGACACCTAAGCCTCTGAGTCAGAGATGACACCTCCAGGCATCCAGGCATCATGCATATGGGGCGTCTGAAGCAACCCCTGAGAGTTCTCGCCAGCTATCTCTTGTTCCCGAAACCGGTCCACTGGTGGCTTAGTTGGTATAATGGTAATGCGGGGTCTGCCTCTTAATTAACCTCACTGCTTTGAAAGGGGCGTTAACCTATGCAATGACCTGTTGTGGATGGTGACCTTGGTTCTAATCCTATAAGGATTTTATCACTTCTTTCCATTTTCTTGTGTGATCCTAAATGAGATGAATATACGTGCATACTTGAAATCTTAAATACGATCTCCGTGTTGAGGACTGGCGGATTGAAAAGGACAAAGACATAAAAAAAACATGCCTCGGTATTTCATGTTCAAAAATGCCTCGTTAGAATAAAATTTAAATGTGGATGTTTTTACGTTCCCATCGACACAAATGTAGATTATATAGGAGGCAGGCTTTGACTCTACCTGTCTTGCCAGTCCACACTAAGAGTTATATAATGTCCCTGCAGAAAACACCGAGATACTCAAAAAACATTTTCCCCACAAGGGAATCGAACACGAATCTTCTGCGTGCGACGTCGAATCGAATAACTGCTATACCACAGACGCTGGTGAATGCTTCTTTGGATATTCAAACCAAAGTCATCACGTCCTGGTTGATACTATGATAATCTCTTATGTTTGAGCTTGGGGTGCACTGCCCCCGACCTCCTTCTAATACAACTCCTTTAGTAAAGGTAAGCTAAAATCTATCAAGGAATGGAACCAATGGAACTCGCTTTAGATGAATAAGCAAACCCGAAGTCTAAAAAAATCCTGACGTTTTCTTTCTTTCACTCTCCTCGCATCATATCTGTTTAGCACCTTGAGGTAGGTCAATACCAAGTTCTGCATTATACGGGGTGTTCACTACGGCTGGATCGGGCCGATCGCCCGACTCGATCGCCTGAAACTGAAAACAAACACGTTTGTTTTTGAGGCCATCGAGTCGGGCGATCGGCCCGATCGGCCGATCACGTCCGTAGTGGGCACCCTACATAGCCTACTGTCGTAGGTTAGGTTTGATGTGGTTCCATGGGTAGTCCTACTACATCAAAGTTTCGTAGTTTTCTTGAAGATTTTTGCTTTCCATAATTATGTGGTTCCATGGGTAGGCTTACCCCATCATAGTTTCGTAGTCCATAACTAGATGGTTCTATGGGTGCTACATCTTAGTTTCATTTGTTTCTTGTTAGTGCCTCTTTTCCATAACTGTCTTCTAGTTCTTCAAGAGAGTAACAATGTTCTTCCAGCTAGCGTTCTCGCATTCCGACTCTCAAAAGCGAGACATTCGTATATCTAACAGTCTACAAGACACCTCCGAGAACAGATCATTACATGACAAATTTATTAATAAATGTAGCAACTACGTTAACCAAGAGATAAAAACGAACGATTAAAAAGGAAACCGGTGTCACCTACATTCTAATAGATAAACAACCATCCAAGCATCGTGAAATTTAAAAACAAACAAACAAACAAAAGCGACAAAGTAACAAAAGCAGCCCCTATAAAAACAAAACACCACACTCCCCCTCCAAAGAAAAACAAAAGAAAAACAAAAACAAATATACCAGTTCCATTAAAATTAATCGACAACTTTTCTGTAACATATTAGCAACTGTTTCCTAAAAAATAGGAGGATTAACATACATATAAAAGAGATTTCCAAAATTGATTTGATTCACGTCGATCAAAGCTGATGTGAGGTAGATGTCAGGGACCCGACGTTGTGTCCCCGGGAAAGGCGCTTTAGATGTATTCCTCTCACTTCACCCAGGTAGAACTGGGTGCACGGCAACTGTAGACAGCTAAAGATCTTATCAGTTTGTTAGTGTTTGAGCTTTAGATCGGCTGCTCGCACGATTTGCCTTCCGTTAAGCCGAGAGTGTTTCAGAGTGGTCTCGAATCTGCTGGTGCAATACTCGTCAAATAATAGTAGAAAAACGCAGAGAGCATGATGTAGAGCACGAATATGCGCTATATCAATGCAATTATTATTATCCTTATCATTATTATTATT